ATGATGTTAAAAGATTTGCATACTCGTTGCTGCAGCTGTAAATCGTTTTAGTGTTGGTTGTGGTTAACATTCCTAGTCACTAAAGCATCAATCAAAGAAACAGACTATTCAACGGAAGTCAAGTGTACCTTAACGGTCCTGAACAACACCCCTTTAGACACTATCCGCGATACGTTTTCGAAACCGGGCGTCGGCAGGGCAGAGCTGATTAACAAAATGCTACGCCACAGGTATGCGGTCAGTAACGCGGGCTCAAGCGCACGAGGTTTAAAATTCAGCTAAATTTGTGAAGAAGAAAGGGGCTGGCATTTAAAACCATGGCATTTTGTTATCGTCGAAGGTATTTTCCTATTTGGGGGGTTGTTCTGTAAAAGGAAGCTAAGGCGGCAAGGAAAACAACGCCTCGAAGCAACAAAATGGAAATCAAACATGCAAACGACTCAAAATCCGTTTTCCGCAGTTTTTTCCGCGCCAAAGCGTGGCGCATGCGCAGACGTTATTCAGCTCTGTCGGCGGTAGTTTGGACGAACATCGAGAAAGAACGAGCCTCTAGTGTATCAGCGGTGTCTCTAAGAATCGGATTGGCCTATGTATCTCGTGCGTTCAATTTGTTACGTAAAACCGTACAAACCAATAATTTCTATACCATTCATAGTCAACGATTGCATAAACTAGAATGTCCGTTTAAAAATTGTACTTAGTAGAAATACTAAATCGATTGCCTCCCTTCTCTGACCCTCTAAAAGAAAGGTTAAGAGGTGGGTAAAAATTTCCATTGGGGGTGGGGGAGGCTACAACTTAATTTAACTTAAATTTTTTGGAATTACGGGATCTCTTATTACTAAAAATAACCTTTCCTTGTTGAAATAGACAGGTGTCAAATTGCAATCCCAGACCCCCACCACTTTCAAATTTCTACGCAAATGAGGTAGTGAATATTAGAGACAAGCAGGGTTAGGGTGTTACGTCAAAAATTGCACAGGAAAAGTACGTGGTGTGCTTCACTAATGAGCTCCTAGTTAGGTTTCTCAGTCGATTAAAATGCTGACTCCATTCGCAGTGGAATCTTCCTCGGCTTTGAAACGACGTTCACAGCCTGAGGCGAAGGGAGACTATACGGTTTAAGGATTAAGAAAATTTAGATGTCCCGTATGGGAACCCAGGCGACGGCTGCGCGTCGACCAGCCGCAACACTTGATATCAGTTCATAGGAATGGTGCATAATGCTTGAGCCAAGTGTGAGAGTTACTGGGCTCTCAGTGGTTGACACGTAATTATTTTACCGTTTAATTTATGATTTACTTCTGGCTTTTAAACGAGCTCTTATTCGTGGTTAATGTACTCATCAAATATCATTGAAAGAAGATCCTTAAATTGTAGGAATAACATGTAAAGACGTCAATTAAAATCTTGTTTCTTTAACATTCTGTTCTTCGTCTGATGTTTGCAAGGCAGAGTTGGCATAAAACAAACTCGCAACTTCTTTGGTCCCGCAATTTCTTGTTTCGATTGTATTTGTTACATCTATATCCGTGGTATTTACTATCTGAGGAGGAGACAGACCAGATAAAGTGTTTCCAGCCTGAGCTCTTTCCCCAGTTATGGATAAAGTAGGAGAAGACTGCATGTTTAGTTGTGTGGTTTTAGGATTATCAATAATACTTTTGCATTTTAAAGAGCCGTGCACTATAACACCGTTATGGTTTTTTCTTGAATGTCTCGTGCTCGTTCGGTTATCAGAAAGGCTGGGAAGGGCTAAGCGTCTTTCTTTGCAGCAGAAGATGGATCGAAAAAATCGAACATACCCTTGACGAAACCGTCCGGTTAAAGAACCATATGCAATCGGGTTCACGCATGCGTGAAGGAATAACAAAGCTTCTGCGCATGTCCAAAAAGCTTTTGTAAGCCCAGCGTACGAGGCACCTCCAAAATCTAAAAGTACCCAAGCAATTTGATTTGGTAACATACAGGCCATGAATAGAGTCGCAATAACCGCTAGAGTTCGAATGATTTGAATGTTTTCGCTCCTGGTCTTCTGTCTGATGACCTGACCGCGAGAGTTTATTGAAGTTCGCATTGGTAACCGGGAAGTGATTAAACGCATAGTAATTCTCAGGTACGCAGTAGCGATTATTGCTAGAGGCAGGACGTACTGAAATCCAAATAATACTGCAGTGTAGGCCTGGCGATATGAAAACTTCGGCCAACGTTCGGTACATAGAACACCTCCCGAACGTGCCGCAATCATAAGAGGAACAATCGTTAAGAAGGCGAAGATCCATATAAGGAAAATCCAAATCAATGTGGCCTGTAGTTTGATTCTCGGTTGCAAAGGGTTTGTGATTCCTCGACACCGTTCAACTGCCATGGACGTTAAGGTGAAAACACTGACTGATAAAGTAACCGACATCATTGGCCAAATTAGTTTACAGTACAATAAATTCTTGTTAAACGGACGATAAAGGTCGTTTGTGTAAAAAGGAAGTGATAGCCATAAAAAAGTTAAATCTGCCACCGCCAGATTTAGAATGAAGTAATCGTTTATAGTTCGTCTGCTTTTTAATTTCCTTTTTACAACCAAGACGACCAGAAGGTTTCCTAGCGATCCAAAAATGAACAGACAGGAATAGAACACAACTTTAAAGGTTCGTTCAGCCTCACTCAGACTTGGGGTTCCTTCTCCAGTTTGATTGCTGCTCGCCGAGTTGTTACTGTTTTCTTCGCTCATTTTATAGGCTGGCGTTTCCAAGCGTCCGTCTTCACTTGATTAAGGATTGTTGCTTTTAACGCATGAATCCTAATTGTGGTCTACTCAAGAGCTGGATTGTGTTGACTATTTCGTCTTGCTACAAGTAAAAAGCACCTGATAAGTTACTAAACAAAACCAGGAGCATAGTACCAAATATATAAATTCATATTTCCATCTTGAGTGGACAGATGAATCCCTCATTGGCCAAAAGCTGCCATCACATGTGTCTCACGAATGAAAATTATATCATGTCATCCGCGTGAGTTCCTCTTCAGGAACAAATACATAATATAAAAATTTGTCATACGGATGTGCTTCTTAATTTCCTAGCCAAGGAAAGGAAATTTTGTCACTAAGTAAATGAAAACCTTTTAATCTGAGATAATCTTTGGAGTGCATACTTCCTACGAAGTAACTTCGCAAATATAAAGAAAAATTACTAAGAATATCTCTATTCTCCAAAAAAATTACAAAGAATCAATAATAAGAAATTATTAAGAAGGAACTAGGTAATTTTTTTTTTAGCTGATGCGTTTCAAGTCATTTTGAATTAATTTCGTCTCTCAACAGCGAATACAAGTCGGATGTAACACTACACGGGTGCATTAGCTGACGATGCGAAATAGCGCAATTTTCACTAGAGTGTCGAACGGAATCCAAGATAATCTGAGATTGCCTTGGTTTCGCTTTACCTTGCTCTACGGAAAGCTCGTGCCATCCCTGCAACCAATCAGAATTGACGACTAGAACTAATCAGAAGCTACGCACATTTTCCCGCGCTTGACGCCGGGAGTTTGCATCGAGTCCTCATCGTGGTTTGAACCTTTTTCCTGATTGGTTTTTGTGTTTACTTTGGTTTTGGCTTCATGGCAATCAGTCAAAATTTGCTCATTCGGTGTAACGAGGAATAGGTTTAACTACTTCATTGTTCATCAGTTCCTGTCTGGAGTTTTTTCGCGTAAAGCGACAAGATTTCGATAAATATTGGCAGACCTGATGTGCAGTAATTATTAAAGACACCGCAAGACGAGGTGGGTGGTAAAAATAGCTGCGGAAGGTTAGCAAGTTGGTCTTAAGAAATAAATTTCACAGTCTATCTCCCGGTCCTTCTGATAAAGCTTAAAATTATCGCAAACGAAGATGAACACTGATAACTTTGGCACGTATTTGTGTCTGGCAACGTGAGTCTCGTTTTAAAATACTAAAGTTGGCTTAGGAATCGCCCTTAAACTTTGAGGTCCTCTATTAGGGACCTTCGAAGCCTTTACAATCGGTTTTTTTTTTCAGAAGAATTTAATGATACGAGGAAAGGGTAGCTTGTTTTATTCCGGAATTTTATTAGAACAATCTTTTCGTTAAATAAAACCATGATGACTCGTAAAAGCATACTAAAAGGGAGAGGCCGTTGATAAATGCTTCATTTTAACTATTAGTAATCGTCGCTTGAAGTATCAAGTAGGAAAAATGAGACTAAACTTAAAAGTACATTTATGGTCTGACGAAACCGATAAAATATTGACCAGAATGAATGATGAGCTACAGTAATTAATATTTATCTAAGCTTTTCGCGTCACTCGGTAGACTCAACGTCTCCCTTTGCTTAATATGCTGACTTCATTTGATTCACATCTCGTGCATGATATGTTTTTTTTTCTCTGTTCGGAGCACTAATAGTAAACTTGATTCAAAGACGCTTACGTTTATTTCTTTCGCATGAAATTCAATGTAACACCTGTTATCGCAACTTTTTTAGCAACTGAGAGGGTCCACAAAGTTAATTTCCTTTTCAAGGCTCTTAGCCTTTCTGGGAGTTCATTAAAACGAAGAAAAACTTTTATCCCTAGCATAGTTTACACCGGCTTTCGAACTTAAACTGACGGCAGATTCTTCTTGTAAGACTCAGTGGTAGCCATTTGATTACGCACCTCTGTTTTTGTTATGGTTTTCACGAGAGCGATGCTTGTACCGTTTTTTCAAAGCTTGAGGAATAATCAGCATCGAGTCGACGGCCGCAGATGGCCAACACCGCGCAGAATGCATACTGGTCAAAACTGGGTTTTTAAATTTTTCTACAAAGGATAGAGTATGGAGTATGGTGGGAGTATGGACCGAGCTAATTAGTGAACAGCTGCTGACACGTAACCAAAAGTCAACCTCGATTTCATGATCAGTTTGCTCGAGAGAGTGGAAACAACTTTTAGGTTCTTACAGAGGATGTGCAGTATTATCAGATGGGAATTTAACATATGGCAGGCCCGTGGTATCAATACGTAAAACAGATGCCGAAGGGCCATTACAAGACATATCTCTTGGTCGCCTCGTAGTGATATTTAGACGTGGAGTTGAGAATCGAATTCCCGTCTTTCCTTCGACTGCTTCTTTGAGAGACATCAACACGAACGGATAGACTTCCTCTGTTGACTTGGCAGACAATTTTGAATATTATTCACAATTTTCACCTAGAGGGGTAGGAATTTAATTTGCATATCTTTGTAGATTTTTCAAACGTAACTTCAGCTGTAGCTAAGTTCTAATTGGAAGAATTGGAAACGAAATGAAACTTCGAAACACAGTCTACTGCAGAATATTTTTACCTTCATTTAATTTGGCGTTTAGCCCTTTACGTTTAATATATGCTGGATTTCTCAAAATTCTGCGAAGAACTCAGAGGGTGGTAAATGTGCTACGATTTACCCCATTAAACACACCACAGTTCGTGTTTTTTGTAAATCGATCTGAACCGAGTGCATAAAACCACAGCTGATTTCGGTGAGGACAGGGAATAAAATGAATGCATTATTTCTTTGGCTGGGTCATAAAATTTTAAGAATGCATTGCATTTATTTATTTTCCGTCAAATGCCAATTACATTTTTAAAACTTTTAAGCATATCATATGCATTTGGGTCGCTTTGAAAATAAAACAATCTGCCTTTGACTTAACTCGACACACAGCACAGTTTTTAAGCACAATCTAAGGAGGCACTGTGAGAAAAAAACACTTGTGTTTTTTGCATTAATGATGCTCTCTTAGGGTTTGCAAAATGGGCTCAGATTGTAGGATAACAGTTAATAATATGACCGGTGAGTAAGCTTTTAGAGTAAAACCAACAGGATCTTAATCTGGTTCAAACTGAACTAGTATTAATCGACTTTCTCGCCGCAAGCAGGACACGGGAAAGAATTTTCTTGAAATGATTATTTAAAAACGATAAAAGCATGTTCGATGTTCAATTTCCATAATTCATTATTTATTTAAAATTTTTCCGAATAGTTTCTGAGCCCTTTAAGGAGTCTCTAAGCTTTTGGAATTATTTGATCTTCAATATCCTCGTCTCTTAATCAAATACGAGATGACAACAGGTTGACGTGATTTTGACTTTTTTAAAGATTTGAATTGTCCATTCACTTTCATAAAATTTGAAATCTTCGAAATCTGTGGTTTTTAGCTATAGTTAGAAGAACAAAATCAATTTTTCCCGGTCTTTTTGGCATCTCAAGCTTTCTTTTTCTTTGTGGGATCACGAAAAATATTTTGAAAACAATAACAATGTTTAAACAGTTCCACACGCACACACTTGTATAATGTTGAGTGGCAGGTCCTGTTATAACAAGCGGTTGTTATGAGAATAAGAGGAAACAAAATAGATCTGTTTCCGTTTTTTTGATGAGTCAAATTATTTTTGGCACGCCTGATTCTTAACCTTTTCACTCCTGTGAGTGACCAAGACAGAATTTCTCCTCACTATATCTGTACAATATCATGCAAACAAGTGATGAGAATAAAGAAAAATATCAATTATGGGATTATCAATTGATCCAGTACCACATTCTCCAAACTAACATGATGAGAATCATTTGGCAGACAGTTAGGAGAATTACTAATGAGATCTTGAGAGTCAAAGGGTTAAGAAGATAACAAACCTGAAATAAAAAGTAGCCTGTAAAACTTTCCATGCGCAGTGTTTTCATTATTAGCCAATTTAAGTAGAGTGGTGTTTCATGTTTAGCAAACAGTTTTCTCCGTGTTTAAATTGCTATGAATACCAAGGAATATTTTGTTAAATAACCAAATAGGTTTTTACGCTGATCTGATTGTTGCATTATTCACACTCTTAAAACTAACCTCCATTGCAAATCAGATAAATCTATGAATCTACATGCAAATCGGTGTAAAATATCGAAGTGTGTGCGTGAACTGTAGTCATAAGATCAACATAGAGTATTATCTTATCACAGGATATTATGATTTCCAAGCGAACTCGGGGGCCTTCGCGAATGATGTAATATCAAGATCTTAAAGCCGGATTATCTCTTTTTAAGGACTAACCTTCGAAATATTTCGTATTTTCGAAGTCAAAGACTGCAAATAGCCCAGAGACAGAAGCGTTATTTCGAAAACTTAATTTCGTGACAAGGAGAAAGGCTGTGATTTTGCTGCTTTTCGTCTGAGGTGAATAATTCGGTTGATATTTTCGAAAGAAGAATTGCTAACTTTTCTCCCAAACTTTAGGTGTTAACAAAATCACACAATACATACCTTCTAATTCAAATCATAAGAGCAAGATCTTGGTAGAGCTGCACGAAGAGCGAACACTTAGTGTACTTTTGCAATGAAAAAGTGATGGATCGACGGTAGATTGGTACTATTAATCGGCACTCGCGTCAACAAACATATTTGTTGAACAAACAGAGGTATTATCACCATTGTAAATTTGTCAAACCTCATCAGCCCTGAGATTAGCAAAGAAATAAAGAGATTGTCAACATTTATTTACGTCATTTCGCAAATGTTAAGTTTGACACTTTTCTATGCAGCACAGAATTGAAAGAAACATCTATTTACAGCACGTAACTTTTTTTTCCCTTTATTTTACTTTTTTAGCGTGTTCAAAGCACTGACTAAGAGAAAATCTTGCGTTAAGAATTCACCATAGCGCAAAATAGAAAATTGACGTGGTCAATTAGAGAGGGTTCTGAGCGTCGAAATTTAAATTTCGTGGCTACATGCTGGCAAACAACCTAAGTGAAGTGACCAGCTAAATTTGTAATTTCCTTCCAACGCAAAGCTAAGTGTAAAGCACTCACGTCACTTTTAAACATCTTGAAAACATTTCGTGTATCTTTTGTATTTCGTTGTTTGGAAACCGTTTCAGTTAATTTTTTTTTCCCGTAATACCCTTGTTATCATTCAATGCCTCGTTAGTATTTTTGTTTCATGGTTGACATTTAAATTTAAAGGTAATTCTGTTTGTCACAAAAATGTCCTATGACGACGCTGTCTCTGGTAACTTCATCCATCTTAAATCGGGCTGATTTTGGAAGTTTTATTTTTACGTTGGGAATTAGATTGGACATAACAGAACGAACTAAAGTTAAAATTAAAATGTAAAAATTCAATGAAAATTCAAATGACATTGAGCATAAGCGTCGCATGGAATTATTCCGGTCACACCATACATCAATTTCGACTGACGTACCACGTATGATTTACTGTTTACTTTTTTTTTCGCTCATATTCGCGATCTTTCGATATCCTTAACATAAACAGACTCCAACAGAGGTTTGCAGATATAATAAGTCGTTTCTTGGTCTCGGATCAGAGTTTCATTATGACGCTTTTAAAATCTATTCCCATAAAAGAATAAAAAGAGTAAGTTCCTAAAGAAACTGTTGTGCTGCGTCGGTGGGAGAGTGAGCAGAACAGGGTAATTTGGTATTATCAACTGAGTTGATAACGTAAATCCCATATCCCCATAAATCGTTTGCCGTTGTGAAACGACAGCAGGGATTTATAATGACAAATTTTCATTTGTGAAATACTGACTTGGGATTGGGGATGAAGATCTTCGCATCACGTTTTTCGTGCTCGGAAAAGTCAAAGGAAGCCTCAAAAATATTATAAAAACTCTTTAAATAGAATGACCCAGTCAAAAGGAATTACGTTGTGTACACACGCAGTCGTACAAGGGGGTCATCCCAATTGTAAAACGCAGGTGAAGGCACTCATCAACATCACTTTACAGCTCATGGATTCAGTTGTTTACATATTCATTTATTGCTATTTTATTTACTAGGTTAGGATTGTAGTTACCTTACGACTCGGTTTTAACAGCCATCTCGCTAACTTTTCCATGAGAAGCATAGTTTCACCTCAACTGAAATTTTGAGCAAATGAAAGCGAGGCGCAATACCCAGTTGTTAAAGCAAAACATCTTCACGTTTTTAATCACCAACGTAAGTGATGTTCGGTTGATTGAAGGTGATAAGATCTAGCTTTACCTTCATCGTGATGAGATTTTTTTTTAAACTCCCAACTCTTTCTTTGGGCTTGAAATATTACGTGCGTTAGACAATGTTCAGTCATGAAAATTAAATTACTGAGCATGGTCTGATGAGAAACATGAAACAAATCAAGAAAATATATCTGAACATATTTTTAAACATTTATATAAAAGTTTGCAATGTCACGCAGTGATAGAAATCTGATGATTTTCTAATCGAGTAAAACCTTGGCCTTTTTTGTACAAGTTTAGATAAATAAGTTTTATTTACGTGAAACACAAAAGACTTATAAAAGGGAATTTTCTTCTACTTTTTATTGGAGTGTTCAGTTGAGTAATCAAACTCATTAAAATCACGGTCACATACTTTTTACGTCGAGAATGAAATGCAGCACTTTGACGAATGATGTGTCGTAGATTTTATTGAACAAATCAAACTCTGCTTTGTGAACTTAAAAAAATGAACCCTGAGTTATTCTATTTTTGTAAAAAAAAATAGCATTAATTGGAGAAAAAAAAAAGGTAATTAATTCCACCCACAGCAACCGTGTTATTGTTTTCTTCATTTCAGAAAAATGAAAAAGTTTTTTTGTTCGCTCTGTGACAACAGAGAAATGAATGAAATTTTAATCATTGATCGGAAAAGAAATTTACAAGCGCTCATTAAATTGAGACGAATGTGATGCTTATCTAACTTTGTGACTGTTTATGATGACCTTTTTTAGAGTCGGTGACACAAGGAAAATGTGGAAAAAGAAATTCATATTCCTTTGAATAGGAGTGTAGCTTTTAACAAAGCGATTTCGGATGTTACAGCCCAATTTTCAGCTTTACTGCTTTCATGCAAAGTCCACGTTATTTATTTTTTACACAACAGTTTACCCTTGGAAACGTTTTTTTTCCAGCCTGTTTGCTCATTTAGGGCTTCATCAAGTAACTTTCAAATCAGCCATAGTTCAGGGCGAGCGAACACTCAGCTTTCTTTCCGCCATCTTGGATCCCTAGAGCACAGAAATCAAACCAGGCGGCTGTTCATACGGCTGTAAATGTTGCGCAGTAGTGCTAGCTCCTTCAAAAAACATACCTTAATGTTTTAGAGGCATAAACTTGAATCGTGGCTAAATCTCAATTTTTCATCCTTTCATTCTTCATCCTTTAAAGACTTTCCTAAAGAACCCCTTGTGCTCGTTATGCCATGCAGAATACCCAGCGGGAACACAACTTGTGTGATTTTGCGTGATCCGCGTGAACATGATAGACCATGTATCGACATTTTGTGAGACAGTCATACCATTTTACTCAGGCAACCTAAAATTTCCATTTAGACATTTTGAAGCCATGCGAGAAATATCTTCGGATAAATTTTAGTACTTTAGTAATTTGCTTGATCACGGTGCTTATTTGACGACTTCAAAGGCGAATTTGTCTCAGTACCTCGTGTTCCAAACCTGGCTTTCCGTAAATCTCAATTTAACCATCTCTGAGTCCAATATTATGATATTTTTAGAGACTATTTCCGATGACAAAAATAAAAGCCGCTTCAGTTTTTATGCAGGGAGCCTAGTATCGGTAAAGTAAGTTAGTAAGGTTTTGTTTAAGTTTTTTTATCCTTGTATAGAGTTAACGTTGAAATGGTTACAGTGGCTTTCATCAAATGAAGTTCCTGTTGATAAAAAAAACAGCGCCCACGACTCGCGCAATCCACATGGAGAGCTTCCTAGAAACCATGCATATACATTTCTTTGACAAGTTTGCGCCTCGAGCCTAAAGTTCCTTAAAAACGTCTACTGGAAAAAAAAAATTCAGACCAAGAAAATGCGTTTTAGTAACCTATCCATTAGCAGCTTTTAAAGTAACCAGAATGAAAAATGTTATATTTAGTTTAAAAAAAAACAAAAAAAAAATCAATAATTTACAACAATTCTCTGTTGGTCTCTCGAGTGTAAAGCACGTTGAAAGCTTAAAACGTCAAGTGAGGTTCTTAGTTTTGCCAACGTCAGCAAGTTAGTCTAACTCTTAATGAAGGAGTCGGTTTTGTTCTAGACAGACATTAACTTTTTCCTTTCGTCTTTTATTTGTCACCAGCTAGTATTTCTCATATCACTGAATTTATTCATACCATTCCAAGAGTCGAGGTTTGAGTGGTAAACTCAAATACACTGCAAACGATGCCTCCGATTAATAGTTGTTATTTCCACTCATTGTTTGCTAAAAAACGTTACTACCATCACTTTCTCAAGACAAGTTCGACGCGTTTTTCTTTTTTTCGATTGAACACTTCAATTATATAAGAAATTTTACCTCTTTTATGTGATAATACATTGTAGAAGCATTTGTTATCACCACATTTTATTAATAAATTTATAATGATCATCGAGGCATCGTAATACACTTTCCATTTTTCTTTTCATTTGCTAACTACGACATTCAGTGTCCGGTTGGCAATAAAGATAACATCCTTATTTTACATTCTTATCCCCTGAGGCAAAGGATAAGAGCTTAATTCAACACGAAATCAGAGTCTTTTTGCATAATGTTCATTGGAAATCCCTCTGGTCATTTGTCTGAGATGACATGAGAAGCTGCGGCGACATTTGCTTTAACGCACGATTCTGTTAGATCTTACAAAACTAGTGAGAGATATGTCATGACTTCTAACTTCTAAGGTGAATTTAGCTCATAAGTTTTTTTTTTTCGTAAGATCTCTCTATTTATTGATGTTTATTTATATTTTTCTTAGGCTATGACTGCAGCGAATTCATTTTCTACTCGGAATGTTTGAATGCTTGTTCTCAAAAGAAATTAATGTCTATCCGGGCCAAAGAAAATAACATTATTTCCAAGAAAAATTGTCTGGAAAATAATTGTAGACTTTGAGGTTTCAGCTACTGTACGACTGAACACCTCACTGCCTTTAGCTACATAAAACTTAAGATGTAATATTTGTTCTTTGCGTAACACGGGCAACGTAATGAAAAAATGTAATAACTTCTCATCTAGCAAAAAAAAAATAATGCTCTTATCTAGGCATAAAAAACATAAAATACCTCAATATCTGTGCGTCATGTACACAATATAAATAAAGAATCGGCAGATGCTATAGTGGGGAAAACATTTTTAACTATGTTGATACTACACCTGAATTTAATAATGGAACTGCAGTCGTATTGGTTAGTAGAAAACAGTTTATTAATAAAAGAGAAGCCCGATTGTTTTGTTCCATTTTATCGTTGAAGGCATCAGCGACGAAGTCACGAAGCTGCATTAACAGTTTAAACTTGACTTAAACTACAGAGAGGTATGTTGTGCTTTTACTCACCTTTTCAATTTGACTTTCTGAATTAATGCTTAGAAAGTGTGTGCTGATGTTGGCTGGAATCACAGTTTTAATAACCATTTGCGGTCTTTAGTAGCGAAGATTTAAAAATTTTATTGACCGAAGTCACTGCTAAAAATTTATTGCAAAAATTAATTTTAGAACGGAAACATCCAGCTTTATGCTTAGAATCAGAACCCGATGAGCTATGAATCATTTTAGGGGCTTGGCGTTTCCTTTGTGTAGAATTGTTTTTGAAGTGATGATGGAACAAGATCAACATAGTATGTTTTCATCCGGCCTGACTGTGTACTCATTACTGTTACAAGGTCTGTCTTTAAGGGAGAATAACGGAATTTTCTTATAAACGTTTTAAACCAAAGATCGACCAACTCCTACATGATTTCTTGAAAAACAAAAAAACAAAAAAAACGACTGCATGGTGTCTTTTAACGGTGTCTGGAAAATGCCTTCACGACCTTATCTTTGTTTGGTTATTTAAATATCCGCGTCTCCTTTTGATTGAGCATTTCAGTTTCAATTGACTTTTGAAATATTTTTTAATCTTTTTTTTTTCCAGTGTAGTATCATCACTATGCGCTGATCTAAACAGATTAAGTCTGTGCAAAAACCCTACCAGAAGATGCACGGAACAAACTGATTTGTTGGGAAAGGTTAAGGCTACAAGTCGTAAAATTGGATTTGAAATCGCGCGGAATACAGACATCAATGGGTCACCCAACAAATTTTTCCACTGTTACTGAGACAGAGAAATACATCAAACTTGGTTTATACGTGATTACTTTCACTGTTGCCGTCGGAGGAAACTCTGTTGTTCCCCTGGTACTGTGGAAGAGAAAGCGAAAATCGGTGAACGATCTCCTTATTTTGAACTTATCAGTATCTGACTTAACACTGATGCTTTTGTCTCTACCGTTAAATACTTTTCTCCTTGGTGGAATAAATTTTCCGGTGTTTTTTTGCAAGATTGTCTCTCCGCTTATGACAGCCACCTTTAACGTCAGTATTTTTACACTGACATTCATGGCTGTATATCGCTGGCGCGTCATCGTCAATTCCCTACAACCGGAAATGCGTCATAGACACGTCATCGCTTGGATCATTGTTATTTGGATCGCTGGCTGTCTGCTTTTGCTTCCGCTCGTGATCGTGGCTGAAAATGACGAGACTGGAGGATGCCGAGAGAGTTGGAAACCTTATCAAAGCCGCGTGTACACATTGATCCTTTTTACACTGCAGTATATGCTACCACTGACAATCATTGCGGGCGCCTACATGTTGATTGGAATCGACATAGGAAAAGCGAAAGAGCGGCATGATATCAACGCACAGGATAGGTTTGCTTTAGAAGCGAGAAGAAAAGAAGATCTCCAAATTATCAAGATGATGGGGTTGATTGTAATATTATTTGCTCTCTGTATGTTGCCAATCCAAGTCGCCTGGCTCATGACGGACTTTGGAGCCGATAAAGATAAGGAATTCTGGAACATTTTCCTGAGAATGGCTGACATAGCAGCATATTTGCATGCCTGTGTCCATCCCATAGTCTATGGAACAATAACCAAGTATTTTCGCCGTGAATACATGAAGTACGCAAAGACAGTTTTTTGTTGTAAAGGTTGAAGCGCATTCTTCAATGAGGGGAGAAAGGGGTTATTGCGAGATGCTTTTCACGGCGATACATGGACTATAAAGTTGTTTATCTGATTATCTGTGACGCGTTATTTCCACCTTTTGATGCAAGCGAAACGTAAGTAGGAACCCTCCCCCCTTCTCCCGCGCGCCTCAACCCTCCTCTTCCAGGAATTCGTGACTGTAGGTAAATTGATGATTCAGTACTTGCGGGAATGTGAAAAAGGAAATTCGTAGTGCCCCACACAGGATTTAAACGATGAGAAGTTACTGTCACATTAAAAGATGCGGAAACCTTGAATTAAGTTCAAAAATAAACGTGGTTATTGTTATTATCATCATTATTATTGCTTTTATTATTATTACAGTTATCATAATTTTTTTGCAATTTGAACAGCTATCAGTTTAGGAAACTGCATGGTTCCTAAAACTGAATATGATGTACGTAAATAATTGTTGGTGTCGAAAGTTCTCGATTTCAGTCAGTGCCAGTTTATCTACAGTACATGAAAAAAATAAAAAATGCGATTGAACAGAACAAAATTATTTATTTGGCACTCCATTTCATCACCTAAGGAAGAAACTTGCCCCAGAGGTAGGGAATGAACTATTATGGGAATGTTTTCATTGCGGAGTTCTCGTGTTTAAAGCCAAGATGCGGAGCCCAATACCAAAGTCTCTATTGAGCGATTCCTACCATTCTTCTCTTTCCACAACTTTTATTAGGGATCGTCATTCGTTCTGTTCTGCTGGCTGAGTTCAGAAATGATTTTATAAAATGATTTTGGCAAGTCATATCCAAACATTTCAGAGTCTGGTCCAAATAACTGCATAGTTCCGTAAAGCCGCTCCTTGTGGATTTGTTTGTAGAAAAATGGAACTTGTGATGAGGTTAGCGATGGTTTGACCGAAGGAAATGAGACATTCGCCTTTTTTGTTACACCAGATATTTCTAAAGCATATTGAGCCTCTTCTTCAAGATTTTCGAAGTGTCCAATGAAATCATAAGAAATACCACAGGGCTGACAGAGGTTGTTGTAAGTTTGCCAGTGCTCGTTCCAGTATCCGTCCCCGATGTGTAGAACGTAGTTTAAATATTCGTCGAATTTGACGTTTTTATCTTCTGGATTACCTCCCGGTCTGTACAGCGTAATAATGCGTTTTCCATAATTATGGTGAAAGGCGGGTTCACCTCGTAGGAATTTATCCAAGTAAGCAGATAAAAGCCGCTCGAAAGGTTCTCGAACAAACACGAACTTAAAATATGTTTTCAACATCCTTTTGACTTCATCTGCTGGATAGTTACTCAGAAAATTAAAATTTCTTGCATCGTGAATCCCAGGGTACCTAAGTTGTGGACCGTAAAGACTTGCCATGACACTTTTCCATTGAGTACAGGCAATTTTTGGAATGTAGCAAAATAATATTTTATACTCTTCATTAACGATGATGTTAAGTTTCGAGATATCCTGCAGGGACTCGTTGGTTTTATTATTCCTTCTGCAGAAGTCCCTGATCGTTGCCAGTCTCTTTAGGTTCATAGACTCTATTGATCCTTCGTCATTTGGCTGCTGGAAAAACATAAGAAAGAAATATTGAAGCCTAATGATCGCATAAGAGAGGAAAGGCTCATTATATAGTTAATGAAAAGTACATATCACTTGGCGTAAAGGAGTTATCATGTTCTGGCCCTGGCTGTTTCTACTCATCTCGCGGTGTTAATTCGTTGCGATGTGAATAATTGCTTGCAAATAATGTATAACTTACTCAATCTACTATTTTTTACAATGTAGGGTTAAAATTACTTTGCTAGCGATGCCAATGACAGTGCTGAACAGTCTGCTAACATAACTTACAGTCGATCAGTTTATGCTGCCCCTAATTTTAGTCTTTCTCTGGATTCTTGTGTGCAATGTGGGTGGACCTCCGAAGTAAGTTATCAATTACATCAATTTGAAGAAGTAATAAGAAAAACCAAACCTGAACCATTCTACTTCTGATTACGGCCCATTCTGTGCGATTGTGTAAACCTTAGAAAAAAAATTTACAATCGTAAAAATGTTGAAAAAAAAAATTAAGTTGTCAAAGAAACTGGGTGTTGCGTCGGTGAGGGTTGTTACAAGATAATTTGGTCTCGTTTGGGCTGCTGGTTAACAGGGAGTTATATAAATCAGCTTGCAATTAAATTTACGATCTTATTAACATTCATTTAGCTACAGGCAATGTTCGTTCTGCTAATTATTCATTTCATGCTCTCTTTTCCATTCCTTGTCTAGTCAACTTGTGTCACACAAATGTATTCTTCAGCAGCTTAAAACGTTACCTTCCTAATCCAACTATCTATTCTGTGCATATATGAGAGGCAGGACATAAACAAGATGAAGATCTTTCGCTTTATCAGTCTGACTTTAAGGTTAACGTAACGTAAAAGTTAACATTATTGTTTAGCAGCTTAAAAAATAACCTTCTAACTCTTATGATGATTTTTTGGTGCTTTTGTGTATGTGAGAGGCAAGATCTAAACAACAACAAGATCTGACGCTGTATCTGACTTAAAAGTCAATGTCAAAGTTAATATATTTTACAGGAACTACAGTCCGTTTTTTTTTTAATTGTTCTTTGCGTGCCGGATGGTAATTAAAAAAGGCTCCGCTACAAAAAACAATCTTGTCTAAAATTCCCATTAAACTCCTTTGTTAAGGTTTCATATTTATTGCTTTTGAATTTCTGTTGAGTGGATATAAACTATACATTCTCACTTTCACAGAGTATAATTGTTTTGAGGGTCCACTATAAATTGATCAGTAAAACGTTTTGATAAGTACACACTACATGTGCCGACTTCATCTCGAAACAAATTCAGTAAAAGCCCGATCAAGGCTAACTAAATTTTTTTTCAGTTTTTGGCCAAGAATTTCACTGAAATCACATTAATAATGTTCGAGCTCTTTACTCGAAGGAAGATTAAAATGTATCTTACCTTGAATACGCATAGTTATCAAGTTAATCCAACCTACGTACAGAACGACAAAAGAAATTGCAATGACAGTTAAAGTGAACAAGGCTGACCTTAAAGTATTGTTCGCCATCGTGGTCACTTAACTGAAGGTTGGTCTTTATCTGCTCCTTTATCTCTTCTAAAACGTATTATTTATGTACGTTGTCAATGGTTGTCAAGATTTATGCGTTTGATTTATTCGTACAGTGACACATTCCAGTGAGTTATTGAGGTTACCATCAACAACCGATTTTTCGTCTATTGAGGGTTGTATTTTGGCTGTGAGAATAATAAAACGATAGGTGGCATTGGATACATCGTAATCATATCGCGAAGTTTCGACCTTTTAGGGGGCGTGCAACCCTCGATTAAGTTTTGCATTACGTATTTGTACATGTTAAGTTGACATTAAAACCATCAGAAGTTTTAGTAGTTCGGATAGATATATAAGACATGTTTGATCGGTTGAACTATAAAAGTCATCATATTAAACTCTGTTCTCACCGACTGATTATTTTGTATGACAAGTTTATAAAGCACATGTCGGACATGGGGACCCATCTGGTAATAAGCGAAAAAGAAAGTTAAACAAATTATTGAATTCGCGAATAGCAACCGAAGTGTGAATGATCGAGAGTTTCGATTGCGTTTTAGTAAAATGTTTTATAAGAGACTTTGACACCAGCCTCTAAAAAAATTATATTTGACTTTGCCGGCTGGTTTTAAGTGGGGGGCAAGTAAACCAAACACGCAAGGAAGCTTTCGTGCCCTATTGTTTCAGTTTCACTTTGCTGTTTGTCCGGCAGTCATTGCTCGAAGTGAAAGTCTTGGTATATTGGAAAAGTTCAAGATAAGTCAGGAATTCCTCTCACTAAAGATGCATTCCAAGTTTTTTGGGAGGCGGTTGGTCAAGAATTTCGATCTATTTGGGTATGGTCAGTTCTACTTGAGTCGAGTGTTGGAAAACTTTAAAACCCTTGCTCGTCGATTGTATTTTTGCCTGTAACCCTGACAACTCTCATTCGCTCAAAAACAGTGATCTGAAACTCAGTTTGATAAAACAAATAAGTTTTAGTTTGGTAGTGGACATCCATGGACCGATTCCTCTCATTCACCGTGTCCTGATCGGACAATGGAGAGAGAAAATCCAGAAAACCTTAAGGAAGGACTCGCGGCAAATATAAGCTCCAAAATATTCAGAACACCTTATAAATTTTCAATTAAGCCTATTTCACCACAGTCACTGCCATTTTGCAGGCGCCTTCCATATGTTTACCGAACAAAACACCGATTTCTTGCTTATTTATTCAGCTTGATAACCATGGCTGATCTCTGTTTTCAGCAAACATTAGTTCTTAATTAACTTGCGCTCCAGAGCGCTGAGAAGATTAGCTCTTTTTAGCTCTCCCCAGCTCTCTTCTCATCTCCCTCAGTCAGTTGTTGGAAAAAACTAAATAGCTTAAGTTTCTCTCTCCGGTTTGGAAGAGGTCAGAACACATGTTCTGTTTCGGTTGTTTTTGTTTTTAATGGCTGTTTCTGTCATAGGAAAAAGACTTTGCAGTCAAAGATGCGAAACGACTCGTCCTTCCCAGGAGCACTTCAGCGTTGGCGACTGTATTTGTATGATTTCTTTCGATATCACCACAATAATATTCACTACGCTTACTTAGCTATTCAAGCTGTTCTTGATAGTGCTCTCGAAGTTGGCATATATTTTAATTTTACTGAGGGAAAATTCCTGCTAAATTCAAAAAGGAGAAAATGTGAAAGCAAAAATAAATTGATCAAATTTTAAGGCGAGATCCCGCCATTAAAAATCCGGCATCGTTTTCAAAATATCGTGTGCTAATCGCGTATGGAAATAAGAGCAAACAAGATATGAGACGCGAGCAATTCTTTTTGTTTTGAATGGTTTTCGATTTAGATCTTGAATGATGCTATCAGAAGTTTTTTTTGTTGTACAGGAAAATATAGGACTTAGTTATCAAGTATTTCTATGGCATGCTATCATCGCCTATCATTGTAATGAAAAACAGCTTTTTACATTAAATATTAACTGATTACTTTCCTGCCAAATTGCTTCCGAGTAATTGAACGCATTTTAACAAACTCATTGGCTGATTGAAAAAAAAATAGAAGCGCATAGCGAAAAGCACGCAGTTATCGGTCATGTTATTCGTGCTTGGTAAGAAATTCAACCAAATGAAAGGGCAGCAGAAGTTTATTGATATGGGAAAAAAAAAATTGAAAATTGTTAAATTTGAATGAAATTCTCCTCGCTCCCAACATGTGGCCGCGTAGCCCAGCAGGCACCAGTGCCCAATCACTGAAAGGATCGCGCTCAATCGAGCTCCTTTTCGAAGCCTAATTTTACTTTCCGGCTTAAATTTCTATAATTTAAGTTTACCTCACACGATCCGTCGTTCAAGTCAAAATACGATATAATTCATACATTGTTTGTAGTAATCTAATAACTGATTAATAAAACATTGAACCCTTGAGCGGAAATTTAAGTTTAAATATATTTGCCTGGATTCTATTCACGATTTTTTCTCTGATTCCTTTTATATTGCATCACAAGTTTTCAGCTTAGGAATACCTTTAATTCTCTTTTAAAACTATCATGTCAGGTTTAGCACACTAATACTTCATTTTAAGTCACAAAGGTAAGTTTCCTATTTTTGGCGCTACATGAAACATTATATTTACTTCTTTTTATTCCATTCCAAGCAGACAAGTTATTTTTTTTATGTAAACATAAATGGAAGTGTTAATGATAATTGCTCAGCCGATTCCTCTTTTTTCATCGAAAACATAGATTATTATAATGTTTTTTGCCCGCTTGGATTGACTTGTCATGACGAACTAGCCGATTTCAAAGATGATAACAATACCTTTTTTTCATTTATAAATTGCAAATGAAGACAGCAAGGTGCTATATTGAAAACTAATTTCCCCTTTCTCTTGTAAAACCACCAAACAGTTTTTCAAAATATAAGCAAGATAGAAATGCTAATTACTGAGATTTGTCAGAAAAATGTCAAGGGTATCACATTCTGTTTGCTTTTTTGGCTCAATATTGGCGATTTTAGCTCAACAATTTAATAAGTAAAAATAAGTATCGAGGAGGGGACGATTAATTATGGCTGGTTTTTCACGACTGGTTTTCGCGTTTTGCCTTTTATACGTGATATATCCTTTGACAAACTTACAAGAAACAATTGACAGGATTTTCAAAAATGGCGACGTGATTATTGGAAGCCTTCTGGCCGCACATCAGGAGAATTCGGAAGAAGGTTGCCGAAACGTACATCTCGTTGGAATAATACGCGTCGAGGCTGCGATATTCACTATTGAGCAAATTAACAAAAATGTAAATATCCTCCCGAATGTTCAACTTGGTTATGATATTCGAGATCATTGCATGGACAGAGCAAAAGCAATGGAACATACTTACGATTTCAGCACACACATCCATTTCTTGGAAATAGTCGAAGACTCCAATGGCCACCCTGTCGGCAATTCCAGCGCTTGTGCGCAATGCTCTATCTCTAAAAGGAACACAACCTTACCAATTGCTGCCATAGTCGGGCCCTACGGTTCACGGAACTCACTTCAAGTTGCAGGACTTCTTCAAGTTGTGAACATTCCGGCTATAAGCCCGTCGGCAACAAGCGCAGAACTCAGCTGGTCCTTTTATAAAAAGTTCTTACGAACAGTTCCTCCGGATGGTTTTCAAGCAAGGGCAATGGCGGATCTTATTGAACACTTCAGCTGGAAATACGTAGCGGTGATCGCTGTGGAACATTCGTACGGACTGTACGGTTTTCGTGCGCTTGAGCAAGAATCTTTTCGACGACAGACTTTTTGTATTGGATTAGTGGAATACATCACACCAACTCAATATGATAGTCAGTTAAAACCTGTTATTGCAAAACTTAAACGGGCGGAGAACATCAAAGTCATAATCTTGTGGATCGGAGCAACACACGCAAAGGATCTGGCAAAAGAAGCGCACAGTCAAAATCTCATCGGAAAGGTTTGGATCATGAGCGACTCATTGGCTACGAAAACTCCAGAATATCTCGGAAACGATTTGATGAGCCTTGGAATTTACTTAGGAATTCAACCGAAGCAATTTCAAGACAGAAACTTCGAGGAGTATCTCAAATATCTCACCACAAAAACGTCTTATGAAAGGAGGAACATAAATCCTTGGTTTGATATTATCTGGAGGAAAGAATTCAACTGCTCTACAAACAATAACATCCAGGGTTACACGCGTTGTCAGGATAATTTAACAATAACTAATGAAGTATTTTCCAAGATGTCCGATGACTTTATTCCATATCAAATTGACGCTATTTACGCAGTCGCGCACGCACTTGATATGATCTACAAATGCAAGACACCACTCGGTTTGTTACCAAACGGAGCTTGTCCTCAAACAAAACCTTTCGTGCGATCTTCAGACGTTTTTTTGTACCTGCGTAATGTGAGTTTTCAAGGAATAACAGGTCGAATTGGATTTGACGAAAATGGCGACCCTCTGCAAGCCGTGTATGACTTTGTCAGCTTTCAGAGGAATATTGATGGCAACTATGTCAAAATGAAAATAGGTTTTTGGGAGGCTAAAGGAAATCCGATGTTAGAAATTAATGGCAGTTTAATTAAATGGAGCAATGGAAACAGCACTTTGAACAGTCAAACATCCGAAATTCCAAAATCAATATGCCTGGAGCCGTGTCCACCTGGAACACGACAAACAACGACGGTTTCTTGTTGTTGGCAATGCATTGAATGCCCTGATGGAGCGGTAAATGCGCGCAAAGGATCACCAAACTGTACAAAGTGTTCTGGGACGCAGAAGTCAAATAAAAATAGAACCACATGTGTAGATCTACCAATAGAAAATCTCCATTGGAATAGCATGACTGGAATCATCTTCGCTATTTTTACCATCTTGGGATTTGTTTTTACATTCCTTACAACGGTTCTTTTCATGCGGCATTATCACACTCCAGTTGTAAAGGCTGCTAATCGTGATCTGAGTTTTATTTTGCTTTCCGACATTGCCGCGGGATTTGTTTTACCATTGTTGACAATTTCGCAGCCCTCTCCGGCCATTTGCG